CTAATAATAATATAATCAGCCATATTTAATAATTACTTGGCTACTTAGTAAGTTGTACTAGGTTCAATTCCAGAGTTGAGTAAACCATTAGTATACATCGATAATAAATATTTGCCTGCTAAAATAGACATGTTGGGTTCGATTCTTGTGTCGGTCAAAATATTTTGATATATTTTGGTTAGTAAAAATTTCCATACACATTTTCATTTTCACAGCTTTTTTGGTTTTCTGACTAGCTGTAACGACTACCATATAGTTCGTGTGATAATCGAACCTGCTTTCTGAGGCACAAAACAGATTTTTTGACTCTGAACAAAAAACTCCGCAATAGGGTAGATGCCTAATTTTTATTTTAATGTTTGTCTGATAGATTATTTTAAATCATTAGACACGTATTTTTTATTTTCTTATAGAAACGAATATTTAGACGATATATTGATTTGAAATGTCGCGTGACGTCACTTCTATGTACATTTTATATGTAGAAATGGTGTTTTAGCTCCCAATCTTAAACTTTGATTCGTTTTATCTAAGTATTGTTTTATTATACGACAAAATAAAAAAAATACGTGTCTAATATTTTTTCATTACCTAACTTACGGACTAATTATATTTTTAATTTTCATACCCTGTCATCATCCCAATTTTGATAAACGAAATGTATATTATTTTTTCCTAACCCGGAAACCAAACTGACGACAAGCTGCACAACTCAACATCTACTTACTTAGCTCCTTTCTGCCCTATACTCTCCCTCTCCTCCTCAGGCCCCTGGTCCTCGTCCTCAGACTCGGAGTCGGATATCTTCACCAGGTCCTGGCTGTTCTTACTCATGTCCAAGTCCAGGAGCGGCGTGAAGTTCTTTATACCTTCCACTAGTTTCTGGAAAACATTTCATTATGTCTTACGTAACTATTTGATGACAGCTATTTGTTTATATTAAAACTTTCGTGGGACATGCTAATTTTTTTTTATGGCATAAGCCGGTAAACGTGCAGACGGATCACCTGATGGTAAGCAATCGGCGTCGCCCATGGACACCTGGAACACCAGAGGCGTTACAAGTGCGTTACCGGCCTTTTGGGGATTAGGAGTTTGAGTATCGTTGGGGATTCAGAAATTGGGGAGATTGGGGAAGTTGAGGGTAATTGGGCCTCACTTACACGACGAAACACAACGCAAGCGTTGCTTCACGTCGGTTTTCAGTGAGGCCGTGGTATCACTCCGGTCGAGTCGGCCCACCAGTGCCGAAGCATGGCTCTCCCACTCTTAAACTTAAGAGGAACTCAGTAGCAGCAGTGCGACAGTCGCCGCGTCGCGGGTCTTGAAATGCTGCTCATGAATATGAGCCTCTAGCATGGCTTGAAACTAATCGAGTTTCTCGTCAAATTATTACGTGGGTCGTGGGTAAGCAGAAAACATAATAATTGACAACTATTTGACTGCACAGTTGGCGCGGTGACTGGGCGACTGCCTGCCGCGTAACGTGCAGCGGGTTCGATTCCCGCAAGGAGCAACTCTATGCGATTTTTTTTATAGAATAGGAGGCAAAGGAGCATGCAGGTCATCTGATGGTAAGCGATCAGCGCCACCCATGCAACACCATATTAATTTGATATTTATCAATTTGTGTGATCCACAGATTGTTGTTCCGTGTCTGTGTGTGATGTGTATGTGATATAGTATGTTTGTAAATGTACACACGACACGGGAGGCAATTGGCTAGTTTCCTTACTTTTCTCCGTGTGAGACGAGGCTTTGCTCAGCAGTGGGCATTTATAAGCTGTTGATGACATATATTATACAACGTGTAGTTTTGAAACCGTGGCATTTCTCGGAGGCATGTCACAGAAGTCATGGTCAATGTAAGAGAAAGTTTCGTGCCAATAATTAAAAATACGGCTATTCTAAATCGTTTAAGTTCGACAGTATTCCAGAATAAGCGACAACAATGTTTCTTATTGGAGTTTTATCGAATTAGGAATAATATCAATTACGTGTTTGAGTTTGTGTGTGTTAAGCCGCATTATAAAACTAGTTACAAGACGGCGGCGTGTAGTTCGCCCTTACGGATTTCCTTAATTTCAGAAAAATAAAAAATATTTACCTACAATTTTTTTTATTGATTCGGACTCAGAATCGATAGCCGAGTTACCTCCTAGAAAATGACGCGGCTGTAAAACAACACCTTGTATATTTACCGTCTCCATAGCCAATACAACATCAGCACAAGGTTGGCACACAAGATGCCTCTTCTTCCTGGGCGCGTCGTAGTACGCCACTACCGCCGGACTGGCCGGTAGGAAGCAGACCTCGGGGCCACTGAGGCAACGGTCGTTTACACACTGACGGGGCTTGTCGACCTCTGACGGCGGTTCTGAACTCGGTTGTATAGTTTCTTCTGTAAAAATAAGAGCAAAAAGTTAATAAAACACAATGACTTACAGTTTTTTTTAATTGGACAACACGGTTGGTGTGGTGGCTGGGCAACCGGCTGCCACGCAACGTGTTCGATTCTCGCACGGAGGAACTCTTTGTGTGATCAACAGATTGTTGTTCCGTGTCTTTGTGTCATGTGTATGTGAACTTATATGTTTGTAAACGCACACACGACATAAGAGAAATATCTTAGTGTAGGGCAACGTTTTCATCAAAAATAAAAAGATATCAAAATTCGGCCTGTGTAGCGCTACGCTACTCATGAATGTGAGTCCCTAGCGTGGCTTGAAACTGATCGAGTTACCTCGTCAAACAGTTACGTAAGCCTTATGTGACATATAATTAATATGTCTTACGAGAGTTCCAATACAACATACCCCAAATATTACTTTGCGTAGATCGGGAATCGAACCCGATACTCAATCGCACTTTGGGTACCTTCATTAATAGAATTTTCAAAAATGCATGAGCCTATTAATAAAAACCCTTTGTGAAATAAAAAGGCATAGTGTAAGAGAAATTCAATAACAAATTCCTTACCTTTAGGTGAGCTCTCATCTTCATCAGAGTCCAGGCTGAATATTTCTAGACCTATCTTAGGTTTGACCTGTTCTTCTATTACCTGAAAGTAATAATAACTAAGTTATATTATTATCATTTTGTTAGTTTATGAGCTCCGGTCTGGCTTGAAAATAGTCGACCACATTCGAATAGTTTCGTAAAAAAGTCAAAAATATTATTTAAAATTTACGTTATACGATGGACTAGGTTACCCAGCCACAATCATAAACAAAAGTAAGTATTTGTACATTTTTTATTTATGAACCCCGGTTTAGCTTGAAACTAATTGAGCATCCTCGAAAAATTACATGAGTACGCCGTAAATATTATGTATAAAAGTCATAATATTATATTTTGTTGAATGCCTTATCTTTTTAAAATTAATATGAATAACATGTTTATTTTTCGTATTTTTTTGTGTCTGAGGCAAACGAGCAGACGGATCACCTGATGGTAACCGATCAGCGCCGCCCATGGACACCCGCAACACCAGAGGAGTCACATATGCGTTGCCGGACTTTTAAAAAGGAATATGCTTTTTTTTTTGAAGGTTTGAAGGTCGTGCTATATTTTTTATAATAGTTATTATAACTATAGAAAAAGTTAATTATTATGATTTACCTGTGTTACCGGTATGACCATCGGTTCAGTAGTGCTTGCAGTTTTAATTGAAACTTCACTGGTATTCAGTCTAGCCTGAAAACAGAAATAAAGATCTATTAAACAGTGTAACGCGCACGGCGAGCCGAACATAGCCGAGCTAGGCTTCGCTCGCGCTTGCGCACTTCGAACGTGCGAATGTTCTAGAAAAAGTCAAGTCAACACGCATGTGCGAGACGCACGTGACCCGCGACGTTCAAACAAGCGAGAGGCGGCCGTCACTCAGCTCTGCATAGTTTTTTCAATTCGTTTCCCTTAATCCCAGTTGGAAAAAACATTTTACGAGTTTTCTTTGTTAAGGTTACAACAGTTTTAATCGCAGTTAAAGGCTCAACCTTTTACTGTCGATGGAATGGAACGAAGTCCCTGGCTAAGCTAGTTAAAATATACTTACCAATTTAAGTGGAGGAGGTTTCGGCACTCCACTTATAACGACCTCTCCCTCCTTAGTGACTATCTCTGACGTGTTTCCGGCGGAAGTGCACATAACTTCGATGTCAGTGGGGATGTTGACGTCCGTGACGTCAGACGTTGACGCCTTTTGAACGTCATCCTGTTTTAGACGCTTTGGCTGCGGTTCTGTTTGTTTGTCAATTTCTTGTATATCTGTGGATGGTACAGAAAAATATATGACATAACATAACATAATATAACATCACGCCTTTTATCCTCGAAGGGATAGGTAATGGTGCACATTATACCCCTATACACACGGCTACACATCGAGCTTTACATAACCAGTATAAACTGAACGTTAAATGTGCGGAAAGATGATGCGACGCGACACCAGGATAAACTGGTTTTGTATAGATTGATGTGTGGCCGTGTGTACAATGTAACACCCACTTTTCACTATTTATGTTATGAGTCCCATGCAATAGGGGGTGAGCCTATTGCCATATACCGGGCACAATTCCAAACTCCGTGCTACTACTGAGAATTAAAAACCGAGTAATATTTTGCTCGACCCGGGAATCGAACCAGAGACCTCTTGCTCGGCAGTCGCACTTGCGACCACTCGGCCAACGAAGCAGTAAATATATAAATATAATTTTTTGAAATTAAAAAAATGATATAATTATGTTTTTACTTCATACATCAAAAGTACTCCTTATGGCAAGTGGACGAAAACGAAATATAATTCACGGTGTATTAAAGAGTTGATTAAAAAAAAAAACATTATTAAAATACCCACTTACCATCTTCAGAAGAGCTGCTTTCTTCCAAATCTACAATATTAACAACGTTGCTCTCCTGCTGCGTGGTAATCTCCAATTTCTTCAACTTAGTTGGAGATTGTGTGAACGACTTGCTCGGCGAACGTTTCGGTGATTCGTTTTTGGTGATAGGCGATTTTGATGGGGTTTCATCGTTTTTCTTTTGATGGTCTGTAATTAAAATATCTATGTTTTAATCAAGTGCCTGTAAGCGTAACCAGTCTTTTTTTTTTTTTTTTTTTTTTTTTAAGGGGGGAAAATCATCGAATGACTGCCCCCGCCTGGGTGAGGCGGGAGGGAGTGTCAGACTCTTACTGACTAAAAACCACCCCGTTCCTTCTCCTGCACGTCGAGCCGGAGCCCCGGTTACCCGTTAGGTTCTCCGCGACTCCGAATCGGCATCGGCCCTATTGGGCCCCATCTGTGGTGGTCTGATGGCTCTTTGAGGCGCGCACGGAACGCGCCGTACGCTCGGGAAGCGTAACCAGTCTAGGGTTCGATTATCAAGTAGGGCAAAGTTTTTTGACAATTCGCAGCATTAGCACGGAGTCTGGAACTAGGCTCGGTGTAAGATCGTTCCTATTATACAGGACTAATAAAATAAATAAGGCCCAAAAGGAGATGGCGGGACGAATTAGACATCTATGGCAAGGATTGGCCGCAAAAATCTTAACATAGAGAGGAGTGGAAGGAGGCTAGGGAGGCCTTTGCCCTGCAGTGGGACGATCATGGCTGAAAATTAAATAAATAGAAAAATCTGCTAATACCAACACTGAAACAATTATAATCTATATACAGAGGAGCTAGAGACCGAGCTCAGTGGTATGTCATTGGGTACTTGTCAACTAATCAAATGCAATACTATTTTCGAACTGTCAAAGACGACAGTTTTCTATGAATTTTGTACGAGATTGTGTATTGTGACGTTAGGTTTTTTTAGCGTAAAATACCATACTATTTTCTTAAAAATTTTCTGGTAAAATACTAAAATTAAGTTGGTCATAAAATCAATTAATGAAAGTGTAATTATTTTTTAATATTTTATTGTATAAACTTGAACAGTTAAAATAATTTATTTTTGATTAAGTGATGGAATCAATTGGAGAGGCCTATGTCCAGCTGTGGACGAACACAGGCAGATGATGACCTAAATGTTGCCAATACCATAATTGAAACTATATTTTCTTAACATTAAGTGTGGGAGAGCCATGCTTCGGCATGACTGGGCCGGCTACACCGGAGTGATACCACAGCCGAGCAGAAAATCGACGCGAAGCAACGCTTGCGTTGTGTTTCGTCGTGTGAGTGAGGTTACCGGAGGCCCAATTACCCACCCCTTCCCCAATCTCCCCAATCCCTAAATCCCCAACGATCCTCAAACTCCTAATCCCCAAAAGGCCGGTAACGCACTTGTAATGCCTCTGGTATTCCAGGTGTCTATGGACGACGCCGATTGCTTACCATCAGGTGACCTGTCTGCTCGTTTACCGGCTTATGCCATAAAAAAAAATCTACCTAAATAAATAAAGAACCAAAACAGTGTTGCCAACATCAACCCAAAACTTGCCAGATCAAAAAAAAAACAAGCCAAAAATAACTTCCATACCTTCCGCTTCCTTCAGCTCTGTGGTCTGAGTTCTGACCTCGGTTGTATTCTCCTCTACTTCATTGTCAGACGTGTCCGACAGTTTCACAGTCTCTACGTCCATCTGGTCTGACATTACTTGTTGTGGCTGTAAACAAATATGTATACATGTTCTATTTTATTCAGTGTCGAAAGATATTTAAAATATTTTGTTGTACGAAAATAAAAAAAAACTATTTCATAAACGGCCTATAAGTGTCCACTGCTGGCCAAAGGCCTCTTCTCACACGGAGAAGGTTCGATCAAAAATCACCACGCTTGCTCAATGCGGGTTGGCGATATCCAACTTATAGTTAGAAATTATAAGCCCAGGTTTGCTCACGATGTTTTCTTCACCATTTTTTTAAATTGAATATTAGAAAGTACATGTAACTCGAAAAAAGTCACGTTGGTAATTGTCGTTCGAAGATTTTGAATCCGCGCCCTCATGCATGAGAAGCGGGCGTCTTAACCTCCGGGCCACCACGACCTATTTAGTGAAACCTATTTAGTCCTGTATTTGACAGGAGTCAAGGATAAGAAAAGAAAAAAAAATGTAGTATGTCCAGACAGACATTTAAAAATAAGTTAGTCATTAATAATCTCATGGTATATAATAGAGATGATCTTATTAAATTAATTATGATTAACGGCTTACTCATGTAACTATTTGACGAGGTACCTCGACTAATTTCGAGTCATTTTAGGGGCCCATAGTCATGAGTAGCATTGCATGACACTAGACGCGCTGAACCGATTGCAGGCAATTTTATGAGGACGAGCCCCAGTGTGGGTTCAAACTAATCGAGTAAATCGTTAAACATAAGTAATTCTGCACGAATGCACGGATGGTGCGGTGGCTGGATAACCGGCTACCACGCAGCATGAAGCGGGTTCAATTCCCGCACGGAGCAAAAATTGTTGTTTCGGGTCTGGCACATGTGTATGTGAACATGTTTTTTTTTATGGCATAAGCCGGTAAACGAGCAGACGGATCACCTGATGGTAAGCAATCGGCGTCGCCCATGGACACCTGGAACTCCAGAGGCGTTACAAGTGCGTTACCGGCCTTTTGGGGATTAGGAGTTTGAGGATCGTTGGGGATTCAGGAATTGGGGAGATTGGGAAAGGGGAGGGTAATTGGGCCTCCGGTAATATCACTCACACGACGAAACACAACGCAAACGTTGCTTCACGTCGGTTTTCTGCGATTTTGTGTGTATGTCTGTAAACGCACCCAAGGGAGAAAGTCCTAGTGTAGGACAAAAGAAATAAAAAAAAAAATGAAAATTTAGAATTGTTACCTCAATTTTTACTCCATTTGTACCAGGACCATCTTCTAATGCAGGTACAGCATGAGCTCCAGAATTAGAATCGTCTTCCTGTATCGTTTCAGCGTGGATTTCCAGCTGTAAAATAAATTATGACTTACTAGCTGACCCGGCAAAGTACGTATCGCCTCAAACCTTTTATCTCGTCTTTTAAACCTTCCCTGGACTTCCACGAGCAATTCAAGACCAAAATTAGGCAAATCGGTTCAGCCATTCTCGAATAACGAACGAAAATTCATTTTTATTAATATAGATTTACTGAAATACACAATATGGTAGTTGACAGGTAGTCAAATTCAATACTTTTATTGAAATGTCTAAAACGATACTTTTCTATGAATTTTATATTGGATCGCAACTTATGACGTCATTATATTTCTGCGTCAAACAGCATACTTATTTCTTTAAAATTAGCGAGAAAAAATCCAAAAGTAGGTAAATTGTCAAATCAATGGATGAGAGTATGATTATTTTTTAACTCGTCGAGTACCGGTTTTGTGGACACAATTATAGAACAATAGGTTGCGGTCACCGGTGACCGCTTGGTGTTTGACAGTTTAATTATTTATTGCATTGAAAAGTTAAAACAATTTATTTTAAACCTAGGAAACTAACCAATTGGGTACTTTACTTGCCAACTAGTCAAATGCAATACTTTTTTCGAACTGTCAAAAACGACAGTTTTCTATGAATTTTGTACGAGATTGTGTATTGTGACGTCGCGTTTTTTGGCGTCAAACAGCATAATTGTTTGTTAAAAATTTGCTGGAATATATTAAAATTAAATTGGTTATAAAATCAATTGATGAAAGTGTGATTGTATTGTAATATTTTATTGTATTGAACAGTCGAAATAATTTATGTTTGATTAAGGCAAAAAAACCGACTTCAAAAAATCAAAAACCAAAAACAAACAAAAAGTCAAAACTAAAAAGCAAAAAATAACTATTATTAGTACTGATAGGTCACCCACCCACTGATAGGCTAGAACTTAATGTCCACAAAATTGTGAATTAGGTACCTATTAAGGTCTTAATGAATAATTTTGAATGGAACTTATGGCACCGACTTCTAACCCATCAGTGGGTGGGTAACCTATCAGTCCTAATAATAGTTATTTTTTGCTTTTTAGTTTTGATTTTTGGTTTTTTTGAAGTCGGTTTTTTAAACGCAGTTTTAATTTTATTATATTATCATTTTCAGTGTAAAGCTACATATACCCGTTTTGTTACTTATAATCTACATAGGTGCAAAGTTCTAATCAATACAAATTATACAAGCCCCAACACAAGGTAGTTACAATATACCGTTGAGGAGTTCCCTTAACAATTACACTTCTTCATCATCAGATCCTTAATGACAGTCCCACTCTATCTAGGTGTGAAGTCCTCATCAATACAAATTAATCAAGCCCAAACACAAGGTAGTTAATATAAACCGCTGAGGAGTTCCTTCGACTGTCTGTCGGCTGTATCATCAGGTCGACTCTAGACCCTTGTCAAATTGTAGTGATTAAAAATCGTAATTGAAAAACATAATAGACGCATTACTCGCCCATAGAATTTTCGAAAGTTCCCCTCGGTTTCCCAAGGATCCCATCATCAGATCCTGAACTCATGGAAATGGGACCATCTCGGGAGTATACCCTTTCAAACAAAACAAGAATTTTGAAAATCGGTTCACAAATGGCGGAGTACTGCGCGAACAAACAGAAAAAAAAATCAGCCAAACATAGTATCTCCTCCTTTTTTTGAGGTCGGTAAAAAAAGGCAGCTACCCAATTGTGACGTGAGTAATTATTAAAACGGATTTTTAGTTAATTTAGAATGTCTCACGATAGTTATTATAAAAACAAAATATCTTACCGTCTCAAAATTACAACTATCGTTATCAACCTCCATTTTGACTTCTGCATTCTGAGGTTCACTAGGGCTGAAGCTGAACATGTCATCCTTGAACTCTGGAGTGTCCAGGTTCTTGCAATCCTCGTCTTTAACTGGTTCATGCTCGAAAGCAGGTGGATTTGAGTCTTCCGATTGTTCTGCTGATACCTGATTGCTGCTTTCTGGAGAGAGAAGGCATCTTGTATTAGGAAAAAGATATGAAGTACATTCATAACCTCTCGCCGCCTTACATAACGCATTTTATCCTCGAAGGGGTAGGCAGAGGTGCACACTACGGCAGTTAATGCCACTGTAGAAGATAGCACCCACTTTTCACTATTTATGTTATGAGTCCCATGTAATAGGGGGTGAGCCTATTGCCACATACCGGGTACAATTCCAGACTACGTGTAACTACTGACAATTTTCAATGCTACTAGTTGGAATTACACCATCTATTGGTTAATTCTATCTCATAAAAAGCGACTTCTGTAACTCACCGTCCAGGTCGAAATCCTCATCATCATCGCCATCATCATCATCCTCCGGTTCCTCGTCATCTTCCATCGCTCGACCTAATGACTCAGCCAGGAGGCCTAAACTGTCTGACACTTCAGCAACTCCATTTGAAGTGTCCGGAGTCATTTCATTGCCAACAGTGGCTGAACTTGGAGCAGCAGTTGCAGTTGCAGTATCAGTAGCGTCAGTTGCAGTTTCAGTGTCAGCAGCGTCAGTTGCAGTTTCAGTGTCAGCAGCGTCAGTGGCAGTTGCAGTATCAGTGGCATCATTAGCCGTTTTTGCAGCTGCATCGTTACTCGTAGTTGCAGTTGTATCTTTAGTTGTAGTTGCGGTTGTATCGTTCGCTATAGTTGCAATTGCAGCGGTGGAGGTGCTGGGGCCGTTTCCGGGGTTAGTCAAAAAGGCGGGTAATGGTTCAATATCTGTTTGGCATGATGTATCTGAAAAAGTTGATAAAGTATTTTCTTATGAGTGACGACGAATTTTGATTACCGGATCGAGCTATTGGCCTAAAGCGTGATTGTTGAACAAAGGCTTTTTTTTTTTTTTTAGATTCAATTATAATTTTTTTGTTGTAGGTCGTTGTAGGTCCAGGTTTATCACATACTACTGCTTCCTGGTGTTTTAGGCCCAGCGCACACAGACCGATTTTAGTGCGAGACGCGCAGTGCGACGTCAAGGGTCTTTGGCACGCAGTTTTTATCCATATGTCATAGTAGTTGAGGTTGATTTCAAACTGATTTATTCTCAGTCTCTTCGGCGCACCTCCGCCGGTGTACACTGGGCCTAAGACTAAGACACTAGGCAGCAGTACTCTAATAAACCTGGAAGTTAGTCTCAGTTATACACTGAGAATTTACGAAAATCGAAATCTCTCAATAAAAAATAATAATTGAATCTAAGTAGTAAAAAACGTTCTTTTCTCTGTCTCCCTTAATCGGCACCCTTAGTTTATAATTCAGTAATTTGGTAGTTTTACCTGGAATGTTCCCAGGAGTTTTGAAAATCTGCAATTTTGTAGATTTTCGTGTGCTTTTATCGATGCGACACGCACCGCCATCTTGGAAAAAATGGCGGCCAAAAACTTTTTACAACAATTATATTTTTCCCTGAATACCCATAAAAATATACTTTGCGGTGCTATGGCGCAAAAACTATTTATATAACAAAAAAACGGTCTAGACATAAATTGTAGAAAATTGTGAATACTTTAATTTTGTAGTTAACATGCACAGGAAAAGAGATATTGTAAAAGAATTTTTTTTTCAAAAATTTTTTCAAGATGGCAGTCAAAAACAAAGTTGCAAAATGGAAATCGGAAAAAGCACATCAAAATCTACAAAATTGCCGATTTTCAAAACTGCCGGAAGACTTTCAAGGTCACATATTTCCTACTTAAACTGTCAAACACTGCTTGGTGTTTGACAGTTTAAGTGCATTAACTGCTGTCACCACTCGACACTGGCAGTATAGTCGACAACATCGTATTGGAGACACGGTTGCCAAAGAAGAAAAAAAAAAAAAGACAAAAATCAAAACAAAAAAGCGTTTAAAACAACTTACTGCTAACATAAACAGTCTCTTCCACTGGCATAACAATGGGAGCATGATCCGCAAACATCTTCTCCAAACTATCCTCAATACTCTCACTGGGGACATGCCTTCTCCAATCCATAGTCTCCGTAACATTGCTCTCTTCTCTCACTGGAGCTGGAGCTGCTGCAACTGGAGCCCTAACATCCTGTATGGTATCCTGTTCACCATCATCATCACTCAGACTATCCATACCGTCTAAGCGATCCAGTCCGAAAGACAGATCGTCAATGTCTAAAAGCTCTTGGGTTGGTATTTCTAGCATTGCGTCTGGTCTGTTTAAGCGGTGATTTGTTTTTATTGGGGCTGGGGATGAAGCAGCTTCACATAATGACATGTTTGGTGACACGTCTTCTGCGATTGCTGATCTGTCTTGATCGAATTCTTGTTTTATAGTTTTCTTTTCTGGTTCAGGCGATTTTGATTCTTTTTTAATTATTTTATTTACATCTTTGTCTAGATTTTCATGTTCAGCTGGTTCTTCAGAGTTTTCTTCAGTTAACATAGCTGGATTTTCTGTTTTGTCTTCTTTATTTCCAGCATTTTCAGCGACTGGTTCAGAAATTTCTTCTTGAACTATGTTAGTGACTAGATTTTCAGTACCATCTACATTTTCAGCCTGTTCCTTATTATTTGAAGTTTCTTCTGTTTGACTTGTCTTTTTTAATTCAGTATCACTTTGAACTTGTGTAGTACTTCGATCAGAGTTTTCCGTATTTCCAACTAAATCATCTTTTTCATTGCCATCTACTTCATCGTGGGTAATAGCCTTATTATTACTTTCAACTAGAGCAGTTTCTTCTTTTATTGTTATATCTTTATGTGAACCATCTTCAATTACTTCTATTTCTACTTTTATATCTATAGTCTGATCTTCATCTTTTACTACTTTCATATCAATTTGATCTTCATTCTTATTTTCAATTTGCTCTTCATCTTTCTCAATTTTAATATCCATGCCATTTTGAGATACCCCATCCTCTTTTAATAGTTCTCTTTCTTTATCATCATCTACAGCATCCATGGTTTCTGCATCAGGTATCAATTCACCCACATCAGTCTCTGCTAAGAGTTGATCTTCCAGTAAAGCATCATTATTGTCATCAATTTCTTTACTTTCTGAAGTTTCTTTTTCAAGAATTTCTTTGGGAACGTCTCCATCTTTCTCATCTTTTGGAAGTTTTTCTTCTATTTTGTCAACTTCAGTATCCATAACAATATCAGTGAAAGATGTTATTTCACATGCCGATATTTCCGTCTGTTTGGTACTTTGAGATTCTACAGACTTATCTTCCTCTATTTGACCAGCAGATTTTTCTGAAGATTCATTATCATTTTTGGTTATTTCTTCAGGTTTGTCTACAACAGTCATTTCAGTGTCTTCATCAACTTTGTTGTTTTCATTAAGAATATCATGACATTCTTTTATTACAGCATCTTCTTCTGCTTGCAATGTTTTTGAATTAATGTCATCTTCTAAAAATTCATTTTCTACTTCAGAGCTTTCCAGATTAGATTTTGGTTCAGGATTCTTATTAGAGTCATCCAAGTGTTCAGTTTTTTCAGTAGTTTCTGTATGTTTGTCTGGTTCGGTGGTCGTTTCTAAAGGATCCGCCAAAAGCTGTTCTTCCAATAAGTCTTCAGTTTTAGGGGAAGGTTTACCTTTGCTGGTTCCTTCAGGTTCCATGCTTTCATCATCATCCCATTTTAGTTCCATCTCATCTTCATCTGTTTCTTTATTGTTTGATTCTTGAGAGTTCTTAACCGGTGATTCTTCAATGTTTTTAAAGCCATCTTCAGCTTCTTTCTCAGGAGGAGTCAAACTTTTTTCACGATTCACTTGAATCACATTGTCGTTGGCTGTATGATCACTAATACCTTTGTCATCATCGGGTGTAAGAGACTTTTTCGGGATTTCAGTTAGATTTGAATCTTTTTCTTCAATTGCTTTCGAGTTCTTATCAGAAACGTCTTTTCCAGCGTCGCCGACGTTTTCATTAGTTTGTTCCTTCAAAACACCTTGTGTCTCAGTTAAGCCGCTATCGATTTGGGTGTCACCATTCGAATTTTTAGCCGATGAAATGCCCTCAAGAATTAATTCCGACTTTTTATCACTTTCTTCTTTACTCAGCGGCTCATTATCAACATCAGCACTATTTTTGTCAACGTTAGCACTCATATTGAAGCAAAATAATCAAATTTATTAACAAAAACAAATTAATAATGATTCCAATCACGATTTGTTGGTGGAAAATCGCTGATTTTTATCGTTTTAAACTTAGAAACTAAAAACGTAATAACAACTAGTTTAATTGTGTGCGCTATAATATTGGATTATTTATAGTAGGTAGTTTAAAATAATAAAATATTTCACATCAATGCAAAAATAGCATTTCTGCTGTTTGCCATTTTCGTTGAATTGAATGACAGTTTGTCAAACATGTTTGACAGCTGCTAGCTAGAGAATGTTGCCAGTTTAATAATTATTCGCCCTTTCGAATGGTTGCGATCAAGTTAGGACATTGAACACCGATCGCTAATACTTATGTTTTATTGTAGATTTTAGACCCTTAATATTCGAATGAAATAAAGTTAAAAATGTACATCAAATTAAGTTAGCAATTGACTTATATCGTTATATTTATTTGCCTTGATAATATTGGATTATAGTTTGCAAGTTAAGCCGTACTGCTATTTTGAATCATACTAATTTCTTTAAGTAGAAACAAAAAATAATACATAATAATTACCGGATTAATCTAGCTTTTTTATTTCTGGTATGCTTCGTCGATTACGTTTCAGCGTTCCACCCTCGTAATTTCATCAAACCTTTAGCCACGGGTCTATCTCTCTTTATCGTCTAGCTTCATCCTTTTCTCTATTTTTGATAATATCCATCTACCCGTCAAAATCAAGTTTTAAAATTTTTCACGTACCTGGAACTCGACAATAAATATTTTGTTTGCAGTGGTGACTGCCGATTTCGCTAGTAAATTCAGTGAAAATATACAGAATTTCTAATTAAGCTAATTCCGTTCCATACGCGGCACCTCAACTTGATGGAAAACTAAAATTGTCAATTTCGTCACAGCATCAGTGATTTGCGTTTGATATTTTATTTGGCTTACTATATACTTTCGTAAAATTGTGTTTGTTACTGGTTTTATCGTAAAATTTGTTACGAAACGTTGTTTGTAGAGCTTGATTGATATTCGTTCATTGTTTTGGTGCATCTAAGCGTCAGTTAGAATACGGTAGAGTGTTGAGAAAGTTGAAAATCAGTTTTCGAGGTTCGCGAGAAATTTTGAGCTGTTGTAAACATGAATACTAGCTACTTTTCACCTCGATTGATGGTTGGGGCTGCTATAGTTGGCATTGTTGGAGCCGCTGGAGTCTTTATATACGAACAGGTGTATGCTGAGAAGCGGAGAGCTATGCTAGGTTAGTAAACCCAATTAACTTTTTTCGGAACACGTTTTGGCCATGAAAACTTCTATTTAGGAGAAAAAGTGTTAAAAATAAATTGCGTGAATATAAAATTATCTTCGAATGCTTTTGTTATTAAAGTAAAGGTTATGTTTTTGTTATTATAATTATGAATTCTTTTAGATCTAGTTAGATACGTTATCGGTTTTCGAACTTAACGAAATGAAGATAAGGTGGGTAATTCTAATATGAGCGCTATTTATTCAATTGGATTTCTTTTTATTCTGCTAAATAAATCAAGTGTACATTATTACCATAGTATAAAAAGAAAAACTAAAGTATATCTGACCTCTTTAGTAAAAAAAATAAATAAATATAAAAGATGTCTAGAGATTACATCATGTAGGTACTGAGATGTTGAATATAAAACCACAAAAGTTTATTTTGCTCCATTACTTAATTAACTTTAAAATACAATTCTCTATTAGTGTAATTGACACATTTAGAAAGATAGAAATAAAGAAAAAGATTTATCATGCCACGACACACAACAAGAATATAGGTACACACAAAAAGCCCATGGTGCATCACAGCAAAAGGCTGTAGCTTATATATTTAAGTGAATTATTATTTATTTATTATAGTCTACTTCTTATATATCTTATTGGAAAATACACCATATTATCCATTAGTTTTGCTGTCAGAAGCTAATTATGAAAGGTCTTCAGCAAGATTTGCAAAAATGAAGACAGTTTTTAAAGTACCCACTACCAACTTTAACTTGCCTATTAACTTCTGAAATGAAAAATCCACAACACTTGTTCATACAAAACAGTCTCTATTGCATCAGAAATAAGGTCTATAATGGAGTAAGTGAAGAGTGTTCACTGTTCACTGCTCAGGGACTAGGTAGTTGGCTAACAATTTTTAATAGATAAAAACTTATATTATACGTAGGTACTATAGCAACTGTTGTTTTTGTTTATCAACTCATTATCATAATTCTTATTAACAATTGTATAGATAAATAAAGTGTTAATTTGAACAAACACATTTGACACACAGTTTATGAATACTAACATCTAAACTAGGCCGAGCCTGTACCTTAGATGTTAGTTCCTTCCATTGAATTGAGACAGAATATTATTTATCAACCAAATACTCACTCATACTCACTGTCTATGGTGATGCGCCCAACATAATTAATTGTTTTGAATGTAATTATATGTATTTTCAATATGTGCTATTGTTATTAATATGTATGTATAATGTAATGTTGTTCTTGTTGTTATTTTAATTATTTATTTTTTATCCATTTGTTTAATTTTTTTTTTTTTTGGCAGTAATCGTAGCTATTGATTTTGTTTTCACTATTATATTAATTTTACTATATTATACATCATGCTGTACTCCGAGCAGTGTTAATTTAGATGTTTTACTAGTACGTATTATAACGGGCTGGTGCTGAAAATCAGCGTCGTGGGCTCGAGCATCTGTGCCCGGTCCACGGTATTAAGCTGAGCTCCAGCCTTTTGCGCTGCGACGCACCATGGACTTTTTTTCTGTATTTCTAAATTCTTGTTGTGTGTCGTAGCAAAATAAATAGTTTTTCTTTCTTTCTTTCTTTCAAATTGGCGATTAAAAAACGCCAATTTAAAAGTACCTTCAACCAACAAGAATTCATGAAAAGACTGATGACTATTGTGTAATAAAGCGAGAGGTCTGTAAAAATCGTAGCAATTGGCGTTCCCTAGTCTCTGCCTACCCCCATGGGAGACACCCGGACTCGGAACAACAAACTGTGGATCACACAATGAGCTGTTCTGTGTGGGAAGCGAGCGAGTTTTCATGGCAGCCGTGCAGTCACGTCAGACAGATGCCGAATTTAAGACAAAATGAACCATCTGATATCATCTTTAAACTGTCAAACACCAAGCGGTCACCGGTGACCGCAACCTATTGTTCTATAATTGTGTCTATATTGACGGTGCTCGACGAGTTAATACTCGTATTATTTACTTTAGGTTAAAATGTAAATTTATGTTAATTTACATAAGTAAGATTGACAAGTTATATTACATACAAACATTTAAGGATGGTTGTAAGTGCTCTCAATATTTGTACTAGTTGTTCTATCACTACATAGTATAAAACAAAGTCGCTATCCGCCGTCTCTCTGTCCCTATGTATGCTTAGATCTTTAAAACTACGCAACGGATTTTGATGCGGTTTTCTTTAGATAGTGATTTTTAAGGAAGGTTAATATGTACAATACTGGCATACGGCACCCGTGCGAAGCCGGGGCGGGTCGCTAGTTCTAAATATTATTTTATGACATTATTAGACTGTCTCGTTGGCTGAGTGGTCGCCTGCCAGGAGTGTGACTGCCAGGCAAAGGGGTCTCGGGTTCGATTCCCGGGTCGGACAAAGTATTAACAGGTTTTTTAAAAAAAATGTCAGTGGTAGCACGGAGTCTGTAATTGTGTCCGGTATATGGCAATAGGCTCACCCCCTATTACATGGAACTCATAACATAAAATAGTGAAAAATGGGTGTTACATTGTACAGTGGCATAATCTACGCCTCTGCCTAACCATTCCAGGATAAAAGGCGTGATGTTATGTTAGATTACATTTTTAAATATTACTTACAAACAACAACAAAAAAAAAATAGAAGCCGACCAGTAGCGGGAGCATGGTCCAAGCTAACGGTGGTTAGGGCTCCAGAGACAGAAATCGCCTTACGATATTTGCCGTTTCAAGGACTGCCTTCTGTATCAGACCCTTGATCCATCCGCCTAACTCCAGCCTTCTGAGATGGATGTCAAGGCTTTTAGGGATTAACCCATTGGCCGACACAACTATCGGCACAATTATAACCGAATCCACACTCCACATGTCGACAACCTCGTGAGCTAAGTCTAGATATTTTATTTGTTTCACTTGCTCAGCTTTTGGACTGCACGGTTGGTGCGGTGACTGGGCAACCGGCTGCAACGCAACGAGTAACGGGTTCGATTCCCGCACGACACATCACTTTGTGTGATCCACAAATTGTTGTTTCGGGTCTGTGTGTCATTGTGTATGTGAACTTGTATGTTTGTAAACGCACCCACGACACAGGAGAAAATCCTAATGTGGGGCAACGTTTTATATTATTAAAAAGAAAAAAGAAAAGAAAGCTTTCACGAGGTTCTCGTCATGGGGAATGGTGACATTGCTTATTATGATATTTATTATTATGTTACAGTGAGAGAAGTACAAAGACTGGATAAACAAGTAGCTTCTATGAGGACAGAACTAGAATCTCTGAGAGACCTACAGAAAGAAACGTAAGTACTATCAATTATAATAGGGACGATGACAAGGTATGAAAATTATAAATCTAATTAGTCCGTATGTTAGGTAATTAAAAAATATTAGACACGTATTTTTTTTATTTTGTCGTATAATAAAACAATACTTAGATAAAACGAATCAAAGTTTAGGAGTGGGGGCTAAAACGTCATTTCTACGTATAAAATGTACATAGAAGTGACGTCACGCGACATTTCAAATCAATATATCGTCGAAAGTAAAAATACGTGTCTAATGATTTAAAATAATCTACCAGACGGACATTAAAATAAAAATTAGGCATCTACCCTATACATATTTTTTGTACAATCATCTATCTTATCTACAAATATAATAAAATCTTAGAAAATTCATTTTTGTTTTGTTTTTTTTTTGTTTTGATTTGATTTTGATTATTTTTTAAAATAATCAATGTACGTGGGGCGTGATCTACAATGGACACTGAAGCCAAAATTACAGTTTTTAGAATTTTTGTCTGTTTGTCTATATGTATGTACGAGATGATCTCAAAAAGTACTGCATGGATTTACTTCAAAATTTCCATGAATATTACTAACAAGTCGGGTCAACATATAGGCTACATATTATCACGCTATCATTCACGGGGGAGGAGCCCTATACTAGGTACTGAGTCGCGCAGAACCTAACGGGTTACAGGGGCTCCGGCTCGACGTGCAGGAGAAGGAACGGGGTGGTTTTTAGTCAGTAAGAGTCTAACACTCCCTCCCGCCTCTCTCAGGCGGATTTCCCCCCCTTGAATCAATTCTAACGACATTCATTCGCGTAGAATATCCCTTGATAGAGTAATTCAAGAGCCTAAATTCTGCCAGAAGTACGTGGACGAAGTCGCTGGCAACAGCTGGTATTTAGATAAAACTAACTAATATGTAAAAATCTTCTGACTTCCAGTAATCTACGTCGTATCAAACAGAGGAAGGCTCGCAGAGACCGCACAGCGAAGAAGGCGGCTGCCGGTGACAGTGTGGAGGTCGCGGAACAGAGCTACGCATCCGATTCCGAGTACTTTACGGATTACCAATCTGTATTGGGTGAGAATCTTTTAAGATCATACTAATATTATAAATATGAAAGTTTGTGTGTTTGTGTTTGTCTATGTTTGTTACCCAATCACGTCAAAAAGGCTGCCTCGTTGGCCGAGTTGTCGCAAGTGCGACTGCCGGGCAAGGGGTCTCCGGTTCGATTCCCGGATCGGGCTAAGTATTACTGGGTTTTTAAAAAATCTCAGTAGTAGCACGAAGTCTGGAAATGTGCCCGGTATATGGCAATAGGCTCACCCCTTAATTTTCCCATGTTATCATGGGATTCATAACATAAATAGTCAAAAGTGGGTGTTATTTCTATGTGCACCTATGCCTACCCCTTCAGGGATAAAAAGCGTGATGTTATGTTATGTTATCATGACGAAATTTGGAACACGGATAGATTATGGTCTGGAATAACACTTAGGGAATAACAATAATACTTTAAACCACGGGAACATGAGTTAAAATTAATTGGACCCTGTTAAGCTTAAAAGATCCAGCCCACATTTTATTACTTTTGAGTAAATGAAGTTTAATGTTGGGCAGATAATAAAATCTTATGCCATGCTTATGGATCTTTTCTGCTTAACAGGGTCCAATTAATTTTAAAATACCGAATATCGAAAATTCTTCTACCACTTTTGCTCAATTCCTACCACATTTTGTTTTACTCAAGACACAAACCCGGGTGTCCTTCATAAAGAGTAAATAGGTAGCTTATGGGCAGACGTGCTCCATCGTAGGCCGCATCATCGTTTACCACCAGCCGAGATAGTGGTCAAACGTCGGCCCATCAAATATATATACAAGGTGTAGTTTGAAACCGTGTCATGTCTCGGGGGCATGTCACGGAAGTCATATAGGTTCAATGTAGGAGAAAATTTCGGACCAATAGTTAAAAATACGGCTATAATAAATCGTTTAAGTTCGACAGTATTTCAGAATAAGCGACAGCAATGTTTATTGGAGTTTTATGGAATTAGGAATAATATCAATTACGTGTTTGAGTTTGTGTGTGTTAAGCCGCGTTATAAAACTAGTTACAAGACGGCGGCGTGTACTTCGCCCTTACGGATATGCGTAATTTCAGAAAAATTAAAAATATTTACCCACAATTTTTTTATTGATTCGGACTCAGAATCGATAGCCGAGTTACCTCCTAGAAAATGAAGCGGCTTTAAAACAACGCCTTGTATAAAAAAACCCTCAGATATGTAATACAAGGTGATATTCTTCCAGGAACAGACGGCGAGCTGGACAGCGAGGAGTTCTACGACGTGCCAACTGATGATGATGACGACGACACGCTCAGAGAGTCATTGCGCAACGGACATGTCGCTGAACTTAAAGATGACGTGAGTTTCATGACAAATCATTTTATTTATATATTTATGTTATTCCCAGCAATATCCTTACAGACTAACCCAAATCAATATTGAGGTTTCTTATATCTTAACTAGCGGACCCAACAGACGTTGTCCTGCATATCCACTTGAATGTATAAACAAAAATTCATTCAAATTAGTTCAGCTGTTTAGGATGAATAACCTAAACATCGACTGCAGCGCCATCTGCCGGGCTGATTTGTGAATCTAAACCATTCCCAGATCCCCTTGAACGCACACAAAATCGGTCCAGTCGTTTGAGAGAAGTTCAGTGACATACACACTCACAGAAGAGTTATATATATATAAAGATTACAAACTAGATTTTTAACTAACCGACTAATGTCGGAATACTGAAACGCTACTCAATTTTAAGTCGTGCTTAAGTATAGTTCTATCTCTACAAATTCTTTGTAAAATGACAGAGATGGCACGATATTTGAGCACGACTTAAAATTGAATAACGTTTCAGTATTCCGGCATAAGCTAACCATAAATACTAAGAAGTGCTACTTTAGTGAATTCACTCAGAGTGCAATAAAACATATCAACGTCTTCTAGCTATGAGGTTGAGCGTGCGCAGTGCGCATTTACTTATTTCGTCTTTTTTATTTTAAAAAGCGTCATCCTACATCTATACATCAGATAGACTTAACAGTCTAACTTTAGGGTGATGCAGAGATGAGTATATGGTATATAGTTCATCATATTTTA